CACACACATATATATATATATATATATATATATATATATAGAGAGAGAGAGAGAGAGAGAGAGAGAGAGACAGACAGACTGACAGACAGACAGACAGACAGACAGAGATAACCTATATAACAATGCAGAAACCGTCATTTGATCTGATGTGCTATACTATTTAGCTACGGAGATGGTTCTGGTTAACAAAATTGAAATTACTGTTTTAAAGACACAATTTAAGTCTTTTTTAATGTTTATTTACTTAAATAAATTGTATCTATAAAAATAACGTACAAACAGAAAATACTGTTTCGGGAACAGATACGATTGATCAAGAAAAATCGTCTTAAATTGTGTATTTATAAGCAGTAATTTGAACTTTGCGAACCATACTCTCTTCTGTAGCTAAATAGTATAGCACGTCAGATCAAATGACATTTTTCGTATATGAACACAGGTCGGTTTTAACGTATTTCAAATTCTATGTTGTGTTAATAGGACTCGCCTAGATCATATTATTATGTGTAATTATTATATAGCTCTGTTTAAATACATTGAGCACTGTTTTATTTACACCATTGATTAAATAAATAGTTATTTGCTCATCTTTATGTGTACGTAATCGCTCACATATATGGTTGCTCATATCTCTTCATGTCTATGCCTATGTTTCAGTTTATCATGACATGAAAAAATAACTCACCCACCTCTACCATCTGAGCTTAATTTTCTATTTAGCGTAGATCTGACATTCAATTGGTTAACCAAGACATACCTACAAGCTTATTTTTAATTCTGACCTTATGTCCCCACCCCCTTTAAACTTTCAGAAAAGAGGTAACACCTTCCTTTTAAATTTTCTTAAAACATCATTTAATCACCAGTTACTTACCATCGGCTGAGGAAGTACAATCATAGTATTGAAACATGAAAGATTTGGTGTAGAGATTTCAATAGATTTTTACTATAATCTATATAGATAGGTAGAAATAATTAGGAGGATTAATCATAATTAAGTAATTCATCGAGTCTAGAAGAAACCTCAACAGTGAGCATCCATTACCGAGAATTGAAACCCGGACCGTTACGTTATCAGGCAAACGTTATACCAACTGTACCAACGGTCCTCGGTGACGAAGAGGTAAAAGAGGTAGCGAATTAGACTCGATATAGCGCCGCTCGATCACATATTCCGTGGTGGAACTCATCCTAGTTTCTCTTTAGGACTGTACCTCTATGAGTTACGACTACTATCCTCAAGCCGCTAGGTCCAGAGGATTAGAAGCCGGTTCAAGCAAGGATGTACAGATAGAAATAATGAGGAGGATTTGAAATAATTATAATTAAGTAATTCATCGTGTAGGAGAAACCTCAACAGAATGCAGAAAGCACTGGACGGCCGTTTCGTCCTATATTTGGGACTCATCAGCAGCGCGCATACCACTACCGAGAATTCAAACCCGAACAGTTACCATATTAGGCAAACGCCATACCAACTATATAGATATATATAAACGAGGAAAAGTATTCTTCTTAAAGGATCCTTAAACACTTCGTCAAATGAATACGTTGGTAAATTTATAAAACATTTCGCATTGCAAGAAAATATAAAACTAGAAAAAGGAACCATGGCTAAAGTTTATTAATAAAAACGAGGGCGGTATATTGTCAAAAGAGCTTATGTAAAGGGTTCCTAGTGGATATAAAATGGAAAAAAGTTAACTCATACCTCCTAAATGACAGCGAGTGACCGAACAAATTGCACTTTCTCTCTGCACAGAAATGGCTGATGTAATTTAATAAAAAAACGTTTCTAATATGCGTAAATGCAGAGCGAACCGAGCTCTGCACTGGACAATAAACGAATCGTCACTATATTTTGCGGTATCCTCTTGGCAGTGTGTTTGTCTGTCTGTCTGTCTGTCTGTGTGTGTGTGTGTGTGTGTGTGTGTGTGTGTGTGTGTGTGTGTGTGTGTGTGTGTGTGTGACAGAGAAAGAATATGCTTATAAAATAGAGAAATTTATTTCATGTATACGGAAGGGGAGGAAAGAAAGAAATCAATCAGCGTCTCTATGCTCTGGTATCCGGTGTTTGGGGTATAACAAGTGAGCCATGTTTCTTTGAAGTCGTTGTGGTACCAAGTGGCGCTTTTGACGCGAGCTTGTGTTCCAGTACACCCATTTTCAGTTGCCGGTTCGCTTTTGAAGAAACTACCTGCTCCCAGGATTAGGGGTTTTGAAAACTAAAAAGGAACTAAATGATTCTCTTTTTCCCTTTTTCTTTCTCAGTTTCTCCCATTCATTCTCACTTTCTATCTCCCTTTCCTCTACATCTGTTTCCTCTTCCCTTTCTCTCTTACTCTTCCCACTCTATTTTATCCCTGTGCTGTCTTTATTTATTTATCTGCGATTACGTTTTATTTTCTCTCGCCCTCTCCTGTTTATTCTCCCTTTCTTCCACACTACTTCCTTGTCTCCCACTTCTTCTATATATATTTCTCTCTATCTCTCTCTCCCCAAAATTTTATTTCGTCTATGATCTGTCTCTCTTTTTTTTTTTTTGTCGCTTTCATTTGATTTCCTTTCAATTTATTCAATTCCTTCTCCTTTATCTACACCCATCTCTCTGTCTATCTCTCCCTCTTTATCTGGTTCCTCTCTCATTCCTGACTCTCTGTCTTTTCTCTCTCCCATCTGTCTTCTCTCTCTTCTCACTCTTCGCCATACTATTTAATTCATACTAGCAGTAGAGCCTGGCGTTGCCCGGGGATGTAACAGTAAGAGATAGATCAAGTATCCACCATCATAAAGACTGAAAAATAAAATTGACAAAGATTATTGTTTAAGGTTGACGGACACGCATGTCTTAATTAGTTTTTTTTACGAATTGGTCAAACCCAAACTCAAACAAAAACATTGTTTTCAATCGTTATGAGTCTACCGATTGAATAGAATTTTATTATAAACAATTGTCTTGTAAATGGAATTTTTAAAGCATTCTGAATATAAAAATAAAGAAAAAGTGTGCAAGACAATAAGAAACACTACCTGACAAAAAAAAGTGAAGTTTTGTTGAAATCGGTTGAAAAATGTAGGAAATCCGATCCCATATATAAACGAACACAGACACACACACACACACACAAATAACCTGGGTTTTATAATAAGTATAACTCGATATGAGTTGTCCCCCTTTCATTAATTCCTCTTAATCGTGTTTTAAAATTGATTTCATGCAAAAACAATTGTGTTTTTCCAATTTTTGGCGCTGTTAGAACCACCGCAAGGTAATTTTACGTAGTCTTGTAAAGTTTTGTTGAAATCGGTTGAAAAATGTAGGAAATCCGATCCAATATATAAACGTACACACACACACACACACACAATCTGCGTTTTATAATAAGTAAGATTTTGTCGCTATTT